TGACAAATCACAGAATCACAGAGTATGCTGAGTTGGAAGGGACCCACAAGGAGCATCGAGTCCAATCCTTAGCCCTGCATAGGACCCTCCCCAAGAGTCACACCAGGTGCCTGAGAGTATCATCCAAATGCTTCTTGAATTCTGTCAAGCTTGGTGCTCTGACCACTTCCCTGGGGAGCCTGTTCCAGTGCCCAACCACCCTCTGGGTGAAGACCCTTTTTCTAATATCCAACCTAAATCTTCCCTGACACAACTTCAGGTCATTCCCTTGGGTCCTGTCACTGGCCACCACAGAGAAGACATCAGTGCCTGCCCCTCCTCTTCCCCTCATGAGGAAGTTGTGACTGCCATGAGGTCTCCCCTCAGTCTCCTCTTCCCCAGACTGAACAGACAAAGTGATCTCAGCCACTCCTCATACTCCTTCCCCTCAAGGCCCTTCACCATCTTTGTTGCAACAGTCAGAAAACTTAAGGACAAGACATTGTTTTTCCCACCACTATCTAGAAAAAAACAGTCTGTCACTGTAATTGTCAAGGGTCTTCTTCTTCCTTTCTCTAGCCTTTTCCTGGAATGTTTTCATAAAATTCAATGATTACCCCTATTACAGGTAAAAAGGGTTGGAACCAATTTGGGTCCCAAAATCACTTGTTTCCTTCAGATTTCCTAGAGAAAAGGGATTTTTCTGCTCAATCTTGGAGTACTATTATGTCAGTCATATTCAACCTAGAATTGATTATTTCCTAGAAAGGTCAAAAATGGTTTTCTAAGTCATTCAGATATTTGTGCATTCACACAATATAAATCCTTTACTAACGAGGCCTTATATCCAGCCCTTCTTTGTAGTTCCAGAAAATACTTACAAAAGGATACTTTTGCTACAATTTTCATGAAATTATCTAAGCACACATGCAATTGGGGATATAACACAAGAACTAGCACTTCCTCTAGCAATGATGAGGAGAGATTGAAAAGGTTCAGATTAAATGGTTGGAGGGTGAGGGAAGTGCCCTCTTATCCCCATTTTGTGAAATGACCCCAGCAATGGCACATAGCTGCTCAGCTGGACTTCTAACATCAGCTTCTTGTTTACCACAGTTCCAAACAATCTACATTGTCACACTTCACTAATGAAACACATACCTTCACAGTGTAAAAAAACATAAAAAGTGCAATGAAAGACAGTTTAGGTCTTCAAACTTCCTTAAATAAAAGAAACAACAACTAGCCATGTAGGTTTATTTCACACTTCTACTATAATCCCTCTTCCCCACATATTCCAAAGAAAGCTTCAGTCAGACTTTATGTTCTGTGCCTGGGGCACAATTAATTCAGGAGGAATATTTGATAAATTAAAGAAGTTATTTGATAAATTAAAACGTAGCCAATCTCCTCAGCATAAGTAGATTTTAACTTTTCAAAGACCTGCAATAAGGTCAGGTTTTCAGATGATCAGTGGCTCAGCCTGAAATGTCTGCTCCAAAGCAGAGAAACTAGAGCTGCAAAATGAAGTACACATAAATGCATGCTTGTTTTTAACAGTAAAAACCCCTCTATTTTCTCTAAAGACATTTGGATAAATGCGTAAGTCTTTAAATAAGAGTAGTTCAAAGAGATCCTGTCAGTCTCAAGTGGATAAAGCAGCATCAGGCCAAATGGGAGGGCTTAGAAAAGTTAAAAGCAAAGCCAAGTTGAAAACAGTCTCTTAATGGAAGTCCTGCACGACCTGTGCTTCACTCAATTCTCTTCAGGGGCAGGGACTATGTGATTGCCTCTCTCTTCCACAAAATGCTGAGCGTACGTCAGCACTTCATCCTATGCAGTAACAATTGTGTAAATGGGAAGAACAGGGAAGAATGGAAAACCAGAGTTATATTTCATCCAAGCAGCTTCCCACTAGCTAAACTTTCCTTTTACATAATCCCACCCTCACACTTACATGTTAACGTAGCAAAACATGGTAATACATAGCAAAACATGGTAATACAGTGGTTTTTCTTGCTAGGTCTTATTTTTCTAATCCATTTGTATTAGAATGAATCACAAATAAATCCATCACCTGGCTTAAAGGGTTTTGTTTCTTTGACACATCAAATCCAAAGACTGCATTGCATGGACACTGGTAGTCTCTGTATTTCAGCAGAAAGTTTGCAGAGAATTCAAAAAAAAAAAATGTCTTTCATCGCAACAAATCAAAGTTATACAAAATGCTTCAAAGTCTTTAAATTTTTACTGCAAGCATTTCAAAGGTTTGTTTGGGGTTTTTTTAATTGATTTATTTTTGTGTTTGTATTTAAATCAAAATAATGGTGAAGGCAATATTGGGAGACACACACAAAAAGAGCACATTTTTTCACTGCTGGCCAATGTGCAATTTCTTCCAAGTCAGTAGTCATATTAATCTAAGTCAATCAAAGACAGTGCTTTGTTTTAAGAACATAAGCCTGAACTGAGAACATACCTGTCTCTGCGGTATTACACGGAACAGATTTGGAAGGATATTATGGAAGTGTACACAATACACTCCAGGGCTACACAATATACTTTTATGTGCTAGTCTGCAAGGTTAAATGTTTCAGAACTTGAAAATGTTTCATATGAATTGGATCCTTAAAGGATTAAGTGTAGTCTGCCTTTGGTTTATATAATGCTGTACAGCAGTCACACAGACTAATTTAGGGATGCAATTCATTTCTCTCTTGTAAGGAAGATACAGGTTACATTGCAAACTGTGAAGACTGCTTTATTACATGACAGCTAAAGTTGAGCAAATAATTCACCTTGAATCATTTCTGCATTTACTCTTTTCATCTTTGTTTCAAGAATGCCTGAAAGATTACAGTCTCTCCAACATACCTCTTAACTAAAATTACCCTATAGAAATGCTCACATGGTTTGCTGTTACATGCCTAATGTTCATAGTTATGTTTAGTTGTGACTGATAACAAAACTTATAGGCTGTTCTGGCTGAGTGATCAGCAACAATCACATTTCTTGTACAATTCACTTTTTTTTCCCTTGTAGTACCTTGTTTTATCTGGTATACTTTCATCAAGACCTTGACAAGCTTAGCTAAATATGAAATTAAAAAACAAAAATAACAACAACCACCCCCCCCCAAACATTGTTAATCTACAGATAAGAAAACCGAGTACAAAGAAGTTAGGCAGGAAACCCTGGCCCATCTCCTGCAGCATCCTTCAGTAATGTGGTGCTTAAATTGCACAATGTGAAAGGAGAAGAAAGTCCAACTGATTTAGAATAGTGAAAAACTTAGTTAAACACATAATTTCTTATCAGGATAGAGAAATCTTCAACAGAAGACTTCACAGTCTGTGGGGGGAAGGTAGACGCACATGTGGAGGGAAAGGGATTCTTTAGTCCAGAAACAGAAAAACAAAAATTGAGGTACATCCAAAATGAAATCTCACAGAATCACAAAGGGATTCCACTTCATTTTACTTTTCTCTTCACTTACAATATTCACATAGAAAATGGCAGAGTTCATCAACTTTTGTGAATGCCAGAGAACTGACTCCAAATGAAAAATAAAAAAAAATTAGTTGTGGAGGGAAAAGGATCAATAGTTATCATCCCAGGAGAGCAGTAGCAACAAAATACTTCTATTTATCCAGATATCAAGGGATCAGCCTCATTTATCTGTAGCTATCACTCTGCAACAGCAGAGATTAGGTTTCTCAAGCAATCTAGGTTGTTTTCTAAAGTGAATGTTATGATAGAATGCAGAAGTTACCAGTAAAGATGAGGAGACCATTGTTATTTTTAAAGGATATTTTAAAAAAATTCTGTCTCAGTGCTTTTTACCTATACTCAAATGGAGCAGTAAGACGTTTTGAGGTTTTCTTCTTGCAGTGAACCCAGGTGGTGCCTTTAGGGGACACAAACTGAGAGGTTTTAGTTTGTTCTACATTTGCCATGTTAATTCACGAGAGTTCAGCATGGCAAAAGTTCTTGATGTGCAACTTAGACAAGCAGAAGTTGCTAGTATCATACAGCACTGAACAGCACAGGTGATTCCAGAACAAAAGAGAATCAGTTATCCTCCAACTTTTCACCTTTTTAGCTTCTTATATGGCACAAAATATTATCAACTTGATTCCCCAGGACACTAAATTCACCTTTTACTGTATATGTTCAGAAATAGAGAAAAATCGAACTCAGGATATTTATTAGCTCCCTCATTTTTCAGTAGACATTCCTCTTGGGACAGTTGGGTGTATGTGTTCAGAAAAAGTAAGATTACCAATTTTTTTTCTTCTCTTTTTCTTGGTTGCTATGAGTGACAGGTACTGGATTAAGCCACCATGAGAATTTACCTTATTACAAAAGGGTCTGACAGAATCAAATGATAAGTACCACCTCCTCAGTGCTCCAGCCACAATTTACCTACATGTATTAGATTATCCCACTCTTCTCTTAAGCTTTGCCTCAGAATGTTGTTCACATCACTATTTTTAATTCACATTTTTTAATGCCTCAACACAAAGCTGCCATTCCAAGTTTACACAAATCAGCTCTACATTTTTTAATTACTTAGACTTTAAAATGGATAAATATTATTTTAACATGAGATCTAAATAAATCTATTTGGAAAATTTCCATAAAAAGTGGATTATTAACAGGGGGTGGGGTGAGAGGGAGGCAGGGAAGACAGGCACTTTAAAAAAAAGTTTTCTGAGTCCTAAATGGAATTTCTGACAAAAAGAGATGTGTCGAGACAGGAAGAACTCCAAGAATGACCAATGGCCAATGCTCAAGTAGAGTTTCCATTGAGAGGAAACAGGGTTAGAGCAATCTAGAGATGAGATGATTGCCCTTCCTATTTACCTGTGTGGAACAGGAAGGACAATAAAATACACCTCTCCAGGCTGTGGTAAAGATAACTTGACTGAAGCTTTTTAAAGAATGAGAAGAAGAGGTTATAAAAATGCTCCGCACATCTGTATTTGTGCACAATGCATATTATCAGCTGTGAAACTTACCCAATATAGCAACAACTTCATCATCCTGGATCACTTCCAAAGACCCTGAAACCACAAAGCAAAGGCTGTCGACGCTCTCTCCAGCGTGGTAGATCAGGTCTCCCGGAGCACAGTGCACTGTCTGAAATTCCATCGCAAGCGCTCGCAGGCACCCATCGCTTGCCAGCCTGAATGCTGGGTGCTCCTTGAAGACTTTGCGGTTCAGATGCACACAGATATCTGCTCTCATGTCCTTAGGGCATATCTGCAAAACCTGAGAAGGAAATCAATCAATTCCTGTGCGTGGTTTTTATGTGCCTATTATTGCTAGTTTACTACACAAGGTTTAAGAACTACTTTCCTCCTTCTTGTAAAATTTCTAATCTCAGTCTGTACATTTATTTTTCTATTATTTACACACATAAGCCACAATGCTAACTTAGTCTACTTTATAATACCTGAAGGAAAATACTCTTTTCATCTCAGCAACGTGCTGCGCTGGATATTGAATTACCATAAGGCCTCAGCTTTTTAGACAATAAAACTGAGGGCACAGCAGTACAGAAAGTGTTGAAGAAAAGCTTCCTGAAGGATTGTTTCTAGAGGGTAGGTCACTTTTTTGATAGGCAGATTCCATTAAAAGCCTGTTCAAATTATATGCTCCAAATCATAGAATATTGTGTAGAGGAGAAGCGTGATCGCACATCTCTTCAACAAACAAACAAACAAAAAGTTATTTAAAGCTTAATTAACTCATAATATTGAGAACTGCAGGTATTCAAATTTACCCCTCAGTGGCACTAACAAGTTTTTCGGTTACACCAGAAAGGGACTTTAAGGTATGATGCTGTGTTGGGCAAGCTGATCTTCCAAATGCAATGTTCCTCACGGCAATTCATGATGTGTGCTCCTAAGAGAACACAAACTGATGCTTAGCACAGCGGGTACCAGGCAGGGCCATTTCTAAAGCTTTTTAATATAATACAGACAGCAGAGTGGAAAGAATACAAAATTACTACTGCATGTACAGATTAAAAGTTCCTGGCAAAAGCACTGGAAATACGCAACATGAACAGAGTTGGGAGATGACAAAAATCTTTGGAGGATAGTTTGTGATGAACTACATCCAGGATGTACTATTTGAGAAAAACATTGAGTAGTCCAAGTCTGCCTCTTTTTTAATTTTTTCACCAATAACAATTCCATCCAATTAAGGAACATTCTGGTTGAGCTTCAGAGTTACTCTCACACATTTCCCTAGATAGTAAGAGAAGAGAAGAAGCAGCAGCATTGCCTCAATGCAAATACTCTGGGTAACACAGGAAGCACTACAACTATGTCTACACCTTACAGTGGGGCTCTGTGCAAGATCTGAGCAGAGAATCAAGCTCATAATTCATGGTAGTGGTTCCAGATATTATGCCTGGTACTCCAGAGGCAAATGACTCTAACACCAATATAATTATCTTTGGTCCACCTCCAAGCAGACCTGTTATTATAGATATTACTTCCAAAAAGTTATATCTCTATAGCATTAAAGTGATGATCTTTTTTGGCTGCCCCATACAGAGCAGCAGCTGAACACCCCAATTCTCAGTTTTCCAGGTTCACAGAAGTGGGCTGGGGCAACAAGACCAACATTTAACATGGAACACAGGTAACAGCCATAACTGTCTTTTAAATTATCTCATTTACTCTGGCAACAAAAACATTCTGTACTGGCAGATTCTTTCCAAATTCTACTGCTGGAATTACATACACCCTTTGCAGTTACTTAAATATATCACACAAAAAGGGTTGCTGTAGTAGAAACCAGAATATAAAAGAGAGTATTTAACATTATGCTCTTATCCAAAACACAGGCATCAAACCAACAGAGCTCAGGTCTGGGAGTTTATGGATTGGCAGAGCCATAAGTCAGCCTTACACCTGCTAGCTTTTGCTATGCAGATGAAAATTGGTTCTTGGTTTACCAGTCATCACCAGTGGCAGTTCAGCTATGAACACACCAGTTATTGAAAACAACACTTTATTAGGCTCTTTGGTGTCCTGACAACTGGAGACTTTTTCCCTGTTTATTAAGATAATTATCAAAGGCTACAGTGAGAATTGTCGTGCTCGGTTTGGTTACTCTGCTGTCTCCAAATTCATTCTTAGAGCATTTCTCTCCTTACCAGAGGAAGTCAGGAATGGACTTTAAAGATAAGCTAAAAAAACTCCATGTTTTACATAGCAATTTTTTCTTGTTGCTTTGTTAAAATGATGACAGTAACTTGTAATGGGGGGTGAATGAAAGCAGCAGCACTCACTACACTATGTATCCTCAGATGTTGTCTCTCCATCTTCCCCAAAACGTATGTACCTCAAATCCATAATCCCACAGACCTTCTAACCAGCACTATCCAGCACTAAAGTACCATTTCTTTCTGAAAGCTAATATGAGAGACAGTGCTTACAGAATTATGGTCTGGGATCTAAAAATGGCAGATAAGTTGAAGATATTTAGGAAAGCAAACAGTACCCACTGTACCTCTCGGTCTCCAGACAGCCCAGTGCAAGGCCACATCTGTTCTACTCCTTCATAATGACACTTTAACAGCTATACAGAAATGACACTATTTGCTCTTTAACTGCATCATCTACAGTTTAGAATACTAAATTAAGTTGCCAACCAGAAGGCTGGTGACCAGAGCATTGGTATAATTTCTTGAATGATCCACCGCACAAATCACATCTCTTTACAAGCAGAAGAAAAACAGTATCTATCTCCATAAAAGCTGGAAACTAATACAAAAGAGGTAAGTAGTTGCTTTTGTACATTTGTTCTGGTGAAAGGTCATTTGTCATTTTAAGACACAATAGGAAGTTACTTGTAAATTCAATGAATTAAAATGATAACATTTGCCTCACATAAGGTAGATTTCAAATAATACATTATTAAATACTTCCAGCTTTCATTAATATCTTTAATCTGCACACAGAATGTTACATTCAAATTCTACAAAGACAAAAAAAAATTACTTTGTTTTCAGGCCCACAGAGCTGCAAACAACCTCACACAGAAATAATACAAAAAAATCTCATCTGGAGAAACTGTGAGATTGTGTTACAATCTGGAACTTGTTATTTATTTACGATCCTTATTTACTGAAAATGAAGCTTTTTTCTTCATAATTTTTATACAATTTCATGCCATATCACTAGCAAAACACACATACTTTTACCACTAGCATATGTCAGTATGACAGAATAGCTGAAATACTATATTTGAAAGTTTAAAATTAAGGGAAGCTACTACTTAGAACTATTTAAAGAATATTTGTCTTCTTTACTAAGACAGTACCTCCTGTTTATTTTAATGGAATACTTTCAGGATGTGACTTCTTTCCTCGCAGTTTAATTTACTTACCTTTTCAGTATCTATTCCTCTGGACATTGACCAGGTGGAAACGATGTAATCCATCACACGTTCACTCAGTCCTTTGGGGACCTGGTAGAGCTTTAGAAAGTCCCGGACACTGTTCAGCATCTCATGATATCTATTTGTATTAGCATACATTTGCTGAAATATGGTTGTCACATTACCAAAAATGGTGGCATACAGAAGGGCTGTGAAAAAGAAGAAAAACCATAGAAATAATACACAATTAGTGATGATGATCAGTCTGTGTTCCACTGTGCTTTATGACTGTAAATGCCAGGCCCATAAAAATGCATGCAATATCAGTGCTGTGTTAGGAAGGCCTAACAAGCACAAGTATTTTATAGGTCACCTTCAGCACTATAAATTGAGGACCAACAACAACTTTTGGGAGGTCAGGTCCTGCATCATGGAGTTCCTGAAACACAACTAATTGTCTTTGTCCATAAAACAATGCAGCAGTACCCAAAACCTTATGAAACCACAACAGAAGACAGAAGAATTTTAAGACAAATAGCTTGACAGCAAATACTTTAAATTTTCATCTCTGGTTTATAGCACTTGTGTTGAAATGCCATCAGTGACAGATCTCTAAGCTTTAAGTGCATTATCATAGTAGTAAGTTGAGTCATCATTACCCACCTCAGTGTGACAACAACAATGCATCAAAGCAGAAGATTGAATATGTACTAAACAGCTACTATGGGTCAGTAATTTATAGATGCAAGTTTAATAGTATATAAAAACTCACATTATGTTTTATATTCTTTAGGCAAAAGAACAGCAAGGCCTGAGGCAAGAGCTAGAGCCCTCAGAGGCAGACCACTGCAGAGCCCTTCCGACTTCATTCAACACAGTTATGAAGCCAGATGGTTCATCAAGATAGGTTTAAGAATAAACATGAGAAAGAAAAAAAGGCAGTGTTTCCAAGTGCAAAGAGAAACAAGTGAAAACACACAAAATTTGAGAAGATCCGCCTGCTGAAGCCCAAGACAGAACAGCAGGCTGGTGGCAGCCTCAGTGGTCACGTTTTGATATCTTGCAGAGGCTGGGGCTGAGGGTCTTCCAGCCAATCCAGCCCTGAACAAAGGGGATGGACAGGAAGCCTCAATGGGAGCTTTCCTATGTTGTGAATCCGGTCAGTGATATGTGACAGGCTGGCTGTAGAGGCAGAACAGTCCGGCTGCAGATACAATGATTACCACCAGTAAGTGCTCTGGATTGCTGAGTAAGTTCTTCCTCTTTATCATTTCCTCTCCCCCAAAACAGGTACCAGATTATCAGTATCATCCACTCAAGATAAAAAATAAATAACTGAGAAGAGAGTATTTTTCCTTATCGAAATACCCCTTTTTGCTGTTTATTTCCTCCCTCGCCACCTATAAAAAAAAAGTCTTCATCCTATTCCTTTCCTTGAGAATGCAGCTATTTATTCAGGTCAGTGTTATAGGCAGATATCCTTAAGGCAACTAAGATGTTTTAGGGTTCTATGACCAACAAAAAACCTTTGATTTTGTGCAAAAGAAACTTAGAGGACTGTCTTTCCCCTGATCATTAAGAGATGCAATTTAAATTTAGATTTGCTCAAGGCCTTTATGCAGCTGATTCTCTGCAGAATTCCTTCTTCATGTGCATGACTTCGTTTCTTTTTATGAGTTTTTATAGAGAACAGCTCTCCCCTTTTCCAACTACCTCTCTGTACAAATGGGTATAGAAATATAGAGAAAAATGTGCAGACTCAGTTTAAAGAAAAGTGAAGAGTATGAACAGGGATACAGTGACCAGAAACATATATATCTCTGTTTAACTTTAACTTGTGCCTGAGCAAAACCATACCAGGAAGTCTGATGCAAAGAGTAGGGAAGAACAATAAAATGCTTTAAAAAACAGATTTACTATAACAGCTCCCTAGTACACGAGTATTTTGTATTAGAACAGCATTACCTTTCCCTAACTAAGTCCTAGTTTGCTCTCTGTTATGCAGATGCAAACACAACCCTACAGGACCGTGCAGTAGCACGAGGCATCCATAGACATTGTTCTTCTCCCAGCCACCACAGTACTGAAATAAGTGACAGATTAGGAAGAGGGTCACAAGCACATTCTTATCTGTAGATTTCTGGGCAACCGTACTTGTGTCCATACAACTCTCTGGCAAACAATGAGACCTGAGGGCTCGGTACCTTGGCATGTACAGCTCTATGCCAGCAAAGGTAAAAGGGAGTCACCACTCTGTCCCATTAGTTTTCATCTACAAGAAGCCTAAACAAAAAAATTCGGTTTCTCCATTTTGATTATTATGAGGCAAGCAATTTCCACAGCAAACTGCAGCTCTAGTATGACAATTATCTTGGCAAGAAAAATTATTTCTGCCTAGATTAATTTTTCACTTTTAAAAAATTCCCAAACTTACAATCCCTAATATCATTAGCTAACCATTTTATTACTATTAAAGACACATTAAAGTCAAGGATTTTTGCAGCCTAATATTGGGTAGATACATTAGCATATTAAACATTAAACTCTTCTGCATGGAAATAGCTGGTTGTATGCCTTTCCTTCTTTTCAAAGGAATAATGAAATGAACCCACTGCAGTAGACTGCAGCCCCAGAATGATTTCAGAAACACACAGTCTACTACAGGAAGAAAGCTGGGCTGTTTATGACAGAGCAAAATCCCCAACATCTTGTCTCCATGAACGTCAAGATCTCTCAGAAAAGATAGAGTCTGCACCCAACATTAATATTCTTATCCAACAATAGATAAAAACACATTGTCCCCAGCAATGTGGCTACCCATTTACAATGCAGTCTATGTTACCCCATTTAAACTAGTGTTTAAATAATGTCAAAGATAAAAGCACAGTAATTTCAATAGCTATTTACCCGCACAAGGGAATCTTGAAGGTCAGACACAGGTTGGAAAGGTCACCAAATCATCTGCTACTTTTAATGATGTAACAAGGAAGAATAGAGACATAAGTACAAGTCAGTGCGGGTCTCAGCTACCAGAGTAAAAGATCTGGGATCTGATTTTAGAATTATAAGAGGAAGAATTTCTATCTGTAAGAATGAGAGGTTTACAATTACCCCAATTACAGATTTAAGTGCTGCATGTGGTTCCTGAGATGAATCATCAGATTGATGATGATTTGTTCAAAATGCACTCATGCAAAGCCCTCGCATACAAAACGTGTGCATAAGAACTACACAGCAACAAGTGAGACCAACATCAACTAATGAACAGCCTCTTACATCTTGCCCCAAAGGCATGCAGCGCTTTCTGAAACCAAACTGCCTTCATCTTAACTTTCTGGAAAGCTGATCCAGGAATTCTGGATATAAGTTCCACTTAACAATTAAAAAGCCAAAACAAACTCCTTTTACATACTGTGCTAACCTAAATACTATTCAAAGAGCAAGCACCTGGATTTACAAATAGCAGATGATTTAAATGTATAATTGCACTTCTGTTTCATCAACAAGTTCCGAGTTTACAACAAATTATTCAATTCATAGATGGCTGTGAGAAATCACAGCCTTGAAAATCTGTTGCACTATATTACTTCTCACTGAATATGAAACACAATCATAAATTAACCAAAAAAATTGCATGTCTCAAAGGCATTTTTCAAATAACACATTGTGAGGTCACACAGAATTAACATTGATCAGATAAAAATAAAAGCAGAAATTAATAATTGTTTGTATCATATCATAATTATATGAGAAAACCACATTATTTATAAATGTGCAATTAGAACAATGTAAGAGCTTATAATTGGTTGAGATTAGAAGTCTTGATTAATGGTAATTATGCTTTTTATGGGTGGAGAGCATGCAGTTAAAAAGGAAAAAGCTGAACTGTTAATTACAATCTGCAAGCAAATACCAAACTGAACAGGTATCTATCAATGAACTGTTTACAGAATTAGTTTTGATAGAATTGTTATTTGTAGTCTTGCAACTTGAAATCAAAGCATCTAAAGTAAGATCTACTGATCAAGTATCTACATAACCTTCTAGAATAAGTACAGAATTTAAATAGGCTGCCCCATTTTCTATCAAGACAGAGGCAGAATTGCTTAATTTCCTACTTCTTAGGAAGCTTTGTGTACTATAAAGTTTCCTATTTGTAATCTTTCATCTACCTTTTGTTTTTTACTAATACAATGCATAGAGATATCATTTCATTTAGCTGGTAAAGAACAAATGTAAACAACTTAGCCATAATCTATTAGGTCAATTAATATTAACACTTCATTAATTTTAACAATGTATTTACATAACATTTTCATGCGGTAGAAAACAAATTACAATTGCTACTATAATCTGAGCATGTCACCAATTCCTCAATTTCACAACTCGGGAAAAAGACATTTTTTTAAGTGAAAGTAAATTCCCAGAGGAGTTCTCCCCCATGTTGTCTCAGTAACTGTTAGATCCTGCTCTTCCCACAGCTCCCTATTCTCCTGACTAAAACAATAAATACACTGCTCCCCCTCCCTTCTCCATTCCACCAGTTTGTAATTGGCACCTCAGAAGCAAGGCAGTAGCAATGGCAAAGATCAAAGAACTGGCACACTACTATCAATTGAGCAAGTTTGAAAATCAATCCAACGGCAAAGAGCAAAGCAGAAAACCTAAATAGGCCGTGAGGGACACGCACATCAAGCTATGTGGCAGAACCACTTGACTTCTAGGATGAAAGATGAGAGACCACAGGCAAATTTTATTAAAGTCTTAGTCAAATCCTACTGCAAATCTTCTCACTTTCATCATCACATTTGCCAAATTCACCCTGCTGACAACAAAATTGGGACACAGAAGGACTACACTGGGCTCCAGCTACAATGGAAATATCTCCCCTACAAAAGGACAGGACACCAGTGAGGACACAGTTGATAAAGGCTAAACAACAGAGCATCAGACATATAATCTTTTTTCGTCTGCCTGCCACAAAAAAACCCAAGAACTGCAATGAAATGAAAGTCAGTGACATAAACAAGGGAACAGCTGCTCCAAGAAGCCACTTAAGCAACTACGAAAGAGTAGAGTAGTAGAAACATCTGTGCACCTTAAAATAGGCCGTCTGCAGTGTGTAAGGGCAGAAAAGGAAGAGTTAAGAACAGCTATGGAATAAACACCAAAAACAGCTCCCACTGCTTCTCTCCTCACACCCCTTCCT